CCACCAAGTACTAAATCATGTTTTGCAGAGGGGTCAAATACTTATTTCCCTCATTAAAATGCAAATCAATTCATAACATTTTTGACATGCGTTTTTCTGGATTTTTGTTGTTATTCTGTCTCTCACTGTTCAAATAAACCTACCATTAAAATTATAGACTAATCATTTCTTTTTTTCTTTGGTTCTTTCGGTAAGTCACGTAGAATGAGAATAAAATAATAAATTGATAAAATAAAATAACACAATATTCTCACGACGTTTCGGCCACAACACAAGCGGCCTTCATCAGGTGAAGGGACGAGACTGCCTGGAGGACAGCGCTGTCCTCCAGACAGTTATTATTTTATTTTATTCTCATTCTATGTGACTTTACCGAAAGAACCAAAGAAGATGAATCCTTGCAGTCACGAAAGCTTTAAATCGAAATTTAATCATTTCTTTGTCAGTGGGCAAACGTACAAAATCAGCAGGGGATCAAATACTTTTTTCCCTCACTGTACATTCAAATTACACTCATACATTTTGGTTTCGTATCACTAATTTCATTGGCAACTGTGGGTAATGACTTGAGTTTTTTTAGATTGCTTAGCAACAGGTTGTACATTGTCAATGAAAATGTGTTGATCATGCTTTTAGTTTGGCAGATACCACCGTGTTCAAATGTTTTGCAATATATAAATGAGCCTTTATAAAATAACTTGATTCAGAAAATGTGAAGCTCTATGTATTCAAGAAGGAATACGTTCAGCCGTAAAACAAAGATTACCCCACTGTGTCGATGATCAAAGTTTTGTGGCAGGATTTTATGAATATGCACAGCCACAAAAAAAATTCCAAATTAACAAATTCATCATCTATGAATGCTCTGACGTCTTATACTTTGACGTTTCATAACACATCAAATTCCGTTTAACTGGCTGCAAATTCATGCAGAATTGCATAACAATCCTTGGGCCTCCAGTGTTGCTTCTGTAGTCGCTAAAGATGTAATTTACAATAGTAGTGGTACCAAAGTGGACCGCATAATGGCTGACTTGTTTGGAGAAGTAGATTTATTCGCTTATGCAAAGTTGCTTCTCTTATCTGACATGCAGCATTATAGTTTCACAACTACAGTACTTGAGGAAGGAAAACTAAAAATAAATACATTGAGAGTCCACTTCAATTGGGCATTAAATTAGTAGTTCAATATATTGGCATGAGGTTTGGATTCCAAAAGGTTTTAAGACTGTGTATGGAACTTTTTCGCTACCACTCGATGACATTGTAGGGCACAATAAAAACATTTCCCACTGCAATGCATTGTCAAGTGCATTAAAGGATCATTGTCCAGTTGGACCAATGGTAGGCAATGACTCATAAGTCAAATTGGGCCCCCTCACATCTTCTCAAACAAGCAGTGGGACCTCGATGTACGCCACTGGTTGCCCTGAGCCACTGTGATGTGTGTACACATTCCACATTGCCATTTTAGTAGTCTTTTTTAATGGCATGGATGAATATTGGGTTGAGCTGGCATCCAACCGGGATTTGTGCATGCAACATTTAACAAAAAAAATATAGGCAAATTTTTTAAAGTACTACGTTTGGAGGATTTTTTTAGGCGCATTGGGATCTACGGATGAAATTGGCCTCATAGATTAAAATAATTCTTAAGCTTTGACAAGATAGCCTGTAATAAATTGTTGTGCATAAAGTTCACGGAAGACAATTCAGAATATTTTCTACATTTTAATAAGCACTGGGCTTTCATTTCAGCGAAGTGGAATATATATTGCACACAGCTTTAAAGCGCTCTTTTTCATCATCATCATCATAAGAGGTTGAATCAGCCAATGCCTGAGACGGCAAGGTTATTTTGGGCTACTGTTTCGGCATCACTAAAGTGTCCTGCTTAATCCATCAATATAACAATGTTTTACCTTTGCTTTGCAAAACTGTAAGCCATTAAAACTTCACTGATTACAGAGTAATTCTTTTTTTGGGCTTCTGAGATAAAATAGCATTCAGTGTGATGTATCGGCTTTAGCCAGTATTTCAAATGTCTTGAGTGCTTTGCTATGTTAAATGTTAATTTTGCTTATCAGATTTTAAGGAGAAAATGAATGACTTGTAACACCTTCAAAAATACAATTTGTTTTAGCTTCGTCAGGTAATATGGTTGAAACAGTATAACAGAAATCTTTTAGATTTGTTTAATTGTATTCATGCCAGTTGGTCGCTGACTATACAAACGAACACATCTCTGTGCCGGGAGCAGAACTGGATCCATTAATATAATTTAACTCTTAAAGTGGGTGAGGAGTGAAGCACCTCACCTAACCTTCAGCCACCATTCCCTATGTATTTTTGCTGTGGAAAAAGTGACTAAACCGATATCTATCGGTCTCTTCAAGATAGTCACTAGCTTTCATCACCAAGGCCATATAGATTGGGAGACTGGCTCGCATCAGTGGACCTGACAGTTGCATATATTTGCATGTGCCAATCAGGCAGGAGTGACACGGGTCCCTAAGGTTCAGTGTCCTGAGCGGCCACTAAGTTTCCGGGTCTCGCCTTTCTGTCTTTGTACTTCTTCCCCAAGGGTCTTTAAAGTCCTGGTTGGGGATTGGTCGCTTACCTGTGGGGCTGGGGCAACCACGTGCATTCTCACCTCAACCACCTCCTGAAACGAGCAGACTTGGAGGTAACTGGGGAAAATATTTTTTTTGAGTGATAGAGGTGTTGCGGGGGTAGACGGCCAGCCAGTGGATTGAATGAGCCGTGGGTGATTCGACCCTGGCGAGTAGGCCCATCTGCAAGAAGTGTAAATTGATTCACCTTAAATGAGAACAGCAAGTTAATGAGCAATTTGAATTTAGACCCATTTGTTCATAAAACGAGCAAAATGTTTACTTATCGAGCAGAAACCAATACATATGCGCCCCGTGGTGGAAGGGGTCGCACGGTGGCCTGCAGCTGTTTGTTTACCAGCTGTCCTGTGCTGTGCCTGCGTGTTTGGCCATGTGGGGGAAGGGGGCCCCGTGGTGGCATTGTAAGGGGTGGGTGTGGGGAGCGGTGGGGTAACAGCACGCGGCGCTTCGAACTCGGCGACCCGAGTTCGAGTCCAGCTCGTGAAGGTACCTTTTATTATTTTTCTATTGCTTGTGAAGTAATTATGCTGGATGTTTTTTTTGTGGTCTATCAGTTAGAGAATATTTTCTTAATTTGACAGAAGACTAAAAAAACACCCTGATGTAGCCCATAACCTATATATTGTCGTAGTTCTGAAAATCCATCCCATTTTTGTGCACAGACCCACAGGAACAGTTTTTTTTAAATGCTAACGATTGTCGACTGAAATCATATTTTTTAAGGAAGAAGAAAGGGAAAGCACACACACAAAATGTGCATAGACACATGAGGCTTTTTCTTTCCTCCCATTCAGAAGGGAATAAAGGCAAAACCCCTGTCCAATTTTCGCTTTTTGTGGGATATGGGTTCCCTGCTGCTCTGTGGGTAGAGGGTGTGACGTATGCATTTTCCTCCTGCAAACTCGTCTTTCTGGACATGAAAAGCGTGGAATGGCTGTAGTGTTTGTGCAGACTGGAAGGTGCAAGTACATGCTGAGCTGTCTCTTGGGAAAGTGATGCTGGATAAATTTTAACCTGAAACCATCTCAACGTGCAGGCAAAAACCAGTGAAGGAAAATTATTTTCTTTTGTACGGTAGTGTTTAGAATATTAGCTTCCAATATTATGACATGTTCATGATTATTTAAATTATTACAAGTTGATATGACAAAACAGCTTGTTTATTGAAAACTCGATCGTTATCAAAGAATACACATTTAATATTCCACATTATTCATAAGAGTCAATAAATGGACAATTGCACAAAGAGTTGATAAATAGGTGACCAAAATAATAAAAAAAATCTGTTGTGACATAGTGCATTGACAATAGAGTCATTGTCAAAATGTATCATCCTCTCATCAAACTGAATATTTGAAATGAGCCAATGTACACATCATCATTGAAAACTGTAATATTATATAGTTTGTGATGCCATTCTCTTAACAAATGGGACACTGCTCTCTGAGATTTCTGAGTGGATTTTTGTCTCCTAATGTGATGCCGATAGCGCCATTGGAATTAATTGCAGAATAAAATGCACATACTATTTCAATAAACCCCCAGTAATGTTAATCACCATGTAGTCATTTCACCCTTGGTTCTGTTTTTTATCTCTCAATGTTGGATTGTGCTGAATTAGTTGTACATCATTAAAGAAACGTCACTGTTTCAATCCAAGCGTTGTCTTGGTGGCAGCTTTCTTTAAAATTAATTTGAAAAAGAAATGTCAACTTGGCTCTCGGTTCCTGGTCAAGGATGCGTAAAATGGAGCAAATGTCCATGCTGTTACTGTTGTCACTTGGCTATGCCGAACATGTTTCAATTATTAAATTTCAAAAACCCACCTGTGTGTGTGTGCGCATACACAGGTATGTGTGCACTGGCCTATGTGGTCTTGTATTCGTGCACACGACTTGTAAAATAAACTATCTTGTTTGCACAATATTTCAGCTCGCAAAAAGATGCACCCTGACACATCTACATCACGTAGGTATTAAAATAAAAGGGGAAACCTGAAATTGCCTGTTACTCGGCATTGGCTATGGATAAAATCATTTTTTGGGACAACCATTTCCACGGCTTGATTATAATTCCGAAAGTGTAGCTGAAATTCCAAATTGAAAAGAATCTTTGCGCTGCGTGAACCGGCGCAGGACACTTAGATGCATGTGCTGTGACTAAAATAGTGTTGCGGTGCGGTTGCAAAATGCAAGCAGTGGGGTGGAGTGCAGCAGGGGTCTGGCTGGTAAGGATTGGTGGTGCTGCGGAGAAGATTAGTGTGTACGGGGCTGGGTGTGTGTGTGTTGTGAGAACCTAGTGGGGAGCAATAGTGTAGCGGTTGGCGCGCTGCGCTATGAACCCGGTGACCCGAGTTGGATTCCCGCTGACGGCCAACACCAAATGAATACCCAGTGCGGTGTGCAAACTTTGCCACTAAGGAGACAAGGTGGCCAGGTATGGTTGTTGGCCATCCACTCCCTTCGTGTGCCGTGCCTTCCTTCTTAGTTGCTCACTAACGGTACTTTCCCCAACAGTCTGTTAAGGCTATACTGGGGATCTTTGTGAGAACCTATAGTTTTCTGTATCCATTCCTGACTGAGTAAAAATACAATGAAAATTAAAATTTCTAACTTTTGTTTCTCTTTCTAAATTCATTATGTCCGTGTAGCTTGTTGGATTAGTGAATTGCTTGTGGGTGTGTATGCGTATTCCAATTGAACATGTGCTTGAATTGTTACCAACTTGGGCTGTTATTTGCATCTGTACAAGTATGTATATGCATGGTTCTTCATTGTTAGACATGCGAAAAAAAGGCCTGTTCTATGCCTTCCACCACAGGATGGGAATAGGTTCCTGCCTTTTACCAGATCAAATAATTATTTGACAGTGAAGAGATCTAGTAAGGCCAGTTTATCTAAGGAGAATATTGCTCAGCACAAGAAAATTAATATGAAAAGCAAAATGCTCTCCCAGGGAAGACCATGAAAGTAAAGGATACATTTCTGAAATTTGGTTCTTCGTAAGATGCAAATGAAACATAAGAGATGGAAACCGTGGTTGTATTTTCAGTGTACAGCTACCTGGGAAAGTAATTATGATCTGAAAATAGTTTTGCGATGACAGCTGTAGTCTTGACGTGTGAATAAAATACTCGTTAATGCTTGGAGTAAAAAAACGGGTAATTTTTTTTCTTCCACAATGTAACCAAATTGAAAGAGTGACTTAACTAAAACCATTAATTGTGTGTTTTGTTGATTAGAATTGCTGCAAGGTGTATTGGAATCCTGACCAAAATTACTTGTGAGAAGATGACATACTGACCGTTTTAAAAGAAGCTGGTCATACAGGACTTTGCATGACATTGCAGACCAGTTTTTCTAAAATTTATTTTAACGGTCCATGCGATTTGCAGGATTCAGTGGAAATGCTCAGCCCAGCAGTCTAGCTGGATCAAGATGGAATGACGGCATATTACTACGATTCCTAGCGGTGACTGCACATTGTGTGATACCAACCAGCAGAAACTATTGATTTGTGTCACGGCCTGAAGTGGCATAATTTACAGGGTTAGGTAGTAAATAATAAACAGGAAAACCTCGCCATACGCAGCTTTATAGAACACATTTTTCGGCTATGCACGGTTTGATTAATGAGGTCTATTTTCTAGAGCACGGAGGGACGAGTGATGTTTTGGCTATGCGCGGTTTGACGCTGCTGAGATTGTTATCTCCGCATCGTAAAGTAGTGCGCAGTCCTCTTGTGTACTTTACTGTATATGCTGCGCGGTCAGCTTGTACGTTTTAATGTGGATATTTTGTGATATGCCTGTATTTTCTAATAGGCATTAATCGACCAAACAGGCTCCCCCCCCCCCCCATGAGTGCTTTTTTTTTTCCAGAGCCTCTTAAGCAGAAAGTAATGGACTCAGCAATGGCCAGGATATGTGCGTTGGTCCAATGAATTGGCAGCTGTTGCAGGAAGCACGGGCAATGTCCATTGACATGTCGGCACACTGGCATAGGAAATTCGTGTGTTGGTTAGCGTGCAGGCTGCTGGCGGGGAAACGTGATGAAGGGAACACCTCACCTGCGGGATAGCAGCACTGTGTTGATGAAGTATCTTCACTTCCCCAGCTGTTGTTTCAAAAGTGTGACATTTTTTCAGTGGCTGAGAAGGAAAAGGTGTAAGAACCGGCAGCCTTTTTTTTTCCCTTTTCCCCCCCCCCCCCCCCGATTTTTTGGGGTGTTGCCAAATTGATTGAAAATAAATAAATGAAAATGTAGTTCACCCACAGCGTGATCACAGCATTTAGCGGGAATAAACTTTAAGTTGAACATTGAAGCACATTGTTTTTGCATATATTTGATAAATCGTAGGAATATTTTTTTGTAAACAAATTGGCACTTGCTACTCATGTTCAGTTAATTTTGTTTTCAACGTGCCTTTGAATATTCTTTTGAACATGGCTTTCCACAGCAGTGTTATTGTCGTAGGTTCCTTTTAAAAAGCATATGTAAGTACAGTGTCAAGTTTTCTTTCTGGAAACTGATGTCACAGCCGAGCACAAGCTTTAGTGTTATTAATCTGGTAATTTTGTCCATTTGTATGCATTGCGAAATGCATGCAATGATGTTGTTGCAATAAGAAAGACTGCAAGCCTTCATCATTCCGCTTCAGTGAACATTGTGCATGGTGTAACAATAATTGTAACTTTCTGAAATTGCGTTCTTGGAATTAAGTTTTAAACTGATGCACTTGGACTTGGAAGTGTGGAATCAGATTTGCAAATCCATATTTACGTGGAGGGGGCGGTGGGGATATTGGTGCTTTTCTGCCGTAGAACTCTGTCTTTTAGGCTTAACATGAACGTGCGGGTTAATTAGTGCACGTGACTTGCTCTATACTGTATATACTACATGCTCGGGCAATTCCTTGCAATAGGAAAATAAATCGGTGTTTAAGACAGACAATGTTTGTGTTAGTGTATGGGTCAGAAAGTAGAAGAGAAGCTTCGAGCCTTTTAAGTACTTGTCGAGCATGCCTGTAATTGCGATCCACAGCTTAAGAATAGAACATCACTAAGAATGTGCAGATGCTCTCGGAAAAAAAGGTTTGCAATGGGTGAAACGCATCAATAGGATGTAGGGTATATGTTGAACTTTTTTCACACCGTACGTAGCCAACCGTGCTTATTGGATGGCAGATTACTGAGACGGGCATTGGCGTGGGTAACTAAAGAGTGATGACCAATGGAAATACCTCGCCAGATGGTGGAGACACTCCTAAAAGTGGACCTTGAAGTTGGATGTCAACTTAACAACTACAGATCTCGCAGAAGTAAGTTATGGTGAGGTGGCATCAATGGCATTGGCAATGATGACCTGTTGACCTTGACGTGGAATAGATGAGATTATTGTGTTAATACTTTAGAAAGACAACTGAGAATAAAATAAGCAATCTTTTTTTTCTCTCGGCGATGAAGTTATGAAAAAATGTTATTTTATGTTTGTTTGTTTGTTTTATTCCATGCATAGTATGAAACGAGGATTTGGCAAATCGTCAATTCGGTAGATCTGTTGCTTGACGAGTTCAGGGCACAGCGTGCACATGTGTACACGTGCTGACAATTGGCAGTGAGAATTACGCGCAATACGAGAGGGGGGGGGGGGGTGGCAATGTCGGCGCAACTTCCCGCCGTAAAGGTGCCATGAAACTCTTGCTTTTTAATGGCCGTGTACACTTTGATGTGTGCTGTCATGGGCCGCTCGTGCTGACGTGCCCGTTGGCCGGCGTGAAGGAGCAAGCGCGCGCAGCAAGCAGCCTCGGCTGTAAAAACAGCCTTTACAGGGTCATCTTGAAATTTAGCTTCCCCACGGAGTCAAAATATTGCAGCGCTAAAATCAGAACTGCTCCACAGGCCCTTGCGCACTGCCTGCTCCCATGCTGTGCCGCTATTGTCGGCAAGGGGTTACAACTGGAACGAGTAGCTTAGATCATAAGGTGTTTAATATAGTGGTGAATCATGTAAGTGCCAGCATAGCACATGTGCACAGTTTTGATGCACAAAGGAATTTTTTATAGGAACACTGTCACTTGGTATCTTGGCACATGAGAGGTCAATAAAATCTCTGGTCTCGGTGGAATATGCACTACCGGGTTAATTCTACAGAATATTAGTTGTCTGTTGTGCTTGCTGGGGTTTTTTTTTGCAAAAAAAGACTTGTACACTTGCCTGTGGCAGTTCACAGCATAGCATTCTTTTAAGTATGCACTAAATATTTTGGTCAATACATAGTTGGCCTTTTTGTGCTAACTTTGGTTCACGCCAATTAAAGTGGTGGCGAAAGGCTGTAACCCACAGCAGAGATCATCACATGTGGGACACATCCACCTGCAGCATATATCTGTCTTCATAAGACAATACGGTGACTTCTTGACATATCTGCTTCTCATGTCAGTTGTATCCAGATAAAGTTGTGGTATCGCATATACAAGAATTCCCTAAATATTCCAAGCAGTACACTCCTGAAAACAAGTCTTGCTGCACTGTAGTTTTCTATGGATAAATAAGGATTATCCAATATTCATAACTTAGAGGTATTGTTTTTCGTAATTTCTTTTTGATAAATTATGTAGTACATGTATCTAACTTAATGTATTGAATTATCTTTTTCCCTTAATCAACATAAACATTCGTACTGTTTTGTTAATTCCATCATCTGAATTATCACTGACCAGTAAATTTGATTTCATAACAGTATGTTATAATTAGTCAGATGCATTCACAAATATTTTATACATATTGAACACATTTGAAAAACAAATCAAGCTTCAGGGTTAACAACTGTATATACTAAACAGAAAAGGTTTCCGCTGTGACCCATGTCCAGAACCTTGAATTATTTAACATTACGAATAACAATGGTCTTATTAACAAATGTGAAGTGAGGAAATTGAGTCGGGGTTGAAATGTCCAACAAAAGGCAGATTGTGCATTAGTGTCAGCGTGCGCATGTTTTACTTGGCTTCTGCATCCCAGGCTGGGTGGGCTTTGTTACCCAATTCAGGACGTGACTCAGATGTGGCGCAACTGCAGGAAAGTTAATGCATTCAGGCATGGCAATGATGACCAATGTCGTCATTGTATTTTCAGAGCATTCGAATGTACAGACAGACCTTCCTCAAAAAGGCTTATGTCTGAAATCCAGCTAGAGATTGTTCTAGTTCCTTTGTATCGTAATGCCCTGGAATGAAAGTAAGATTAGCCTTGTTACAAATGGAACAAAATGCGTTTTTGCACACTAAAAATAGTGAAGAGTGAAGCTTATAGAAGGAGTGTAATGTCAAATTGTTACGACTTAAAATGTATCATCATGATTGGCATTTTTTCATTCCAATTTTAAAACAGATAGAGATTTACGTCATATATCGACACCTCTGTCAGTCTTAAAACATGTTGATACAATCAGCAAAACACGTTGGCAAAGCGGAGACGTGAAATAAAAAGGGAAGCACCACTTAACCAGAATGCGGTCACATGCTTAAAATGTATACAATCGGAACATCAGTAACATGTAACGAAGAGAAATAGAATCGATGCAGTTCTCTCCCATTCACTATGTTGTGTGTCCATTGGTTGTGTCCAGTGAAGTGATATCCAAGTGTGAATGTCTGCATGCAGAGACGATGGAAATGCCACATCCCTGTTGCGTCAGAAAATGACTTAATTTCCCCTGCGACTTCCCATGCTTGTTTGGTCCTAAATGCTGAACAAATCAAGGGGTCGGCAACCACGGCTACTTATTCATTTGTTGCTTTTTGAACTAAATTTGTGCTGCTGAGCTGATCCTCTTACTGCGGTGAATTCAACATTCTCGTGATGTTATATAAATGCAAAGTATACCCTAAGTATTTTAATGCAAGTATCATATGCCCCCCCCCCCCCTTCAATATTACTTTTCTATTTCCAGAGATTAGCAAGAGAGAATTACACCTCAAAACTGGCCACTTAATTCTTGTATTTTTAGCCATGGCCAATTAGGTTTACCACGGGGTTTCTATTGCTCTATACCGTTTTTCTTTAGTTAATAGTTAATTAAATACACTTTACATACAACAACAATCGCCTTTCGCCAGTAAATGACAGTGACATCACAGCGCTTGTGTCAGGCTAGGTACACTAAGGCCATTTGCATTGTCGAATATTCACTCCCAAGGGGGTCACGGGACCGACCCAGGTGTTGTGGGGGTTCACTAAGTTGACTGACAGATGCATCACCTTCATTCCCCACTCTTCAACTGTTGACACTATATACACAAGCACACACAGCGCTTTATATTGACAGCATGGAATCAGAAAATTGCCTACATTAGGGAATCATGATTCGACTATAAACATCTACTTTGCTGCAGATGGCATGCTTAGACAACTCACTGAAGAAATTATCAGTTCGGAGGAACTGAACCGTCGAATCTGGGAATACTGGCTCTGTGGCAAATATCTTGATAACTGGGTGCTGATAGAAATGCATCATTATTATCTTTCTATTGCAGTTAATACCACAGCAGTGGTTTCCTTTGTTGATCTTTCTCTTCTGGTCGGGTTGTGAGATGTTGGGATTTGACAGTGGATCTAAGAGTGGGATGATATGGGGGCAGATGGGAAACCCTACGTCATTGGTCGTTTATAAATTGCAGATGTTGAGCTTGGAATATTCTTTGATGGCGGCTAGGTTTTAGGGGTTACAAATAATGTTTATGACCAGGAGTTATATTGGCTGCCTGAGAATTGCTTTTTCTCCCCCAAAAATGAAGTCGTTGGCCTTTAGTAGATCTGAGATCATGTAGGTTTCCATGGAAACGGTGTGCTTAGATGAAGGGGGTTTTTCTCCTTTAAATGGTTAAAATATGCTTTAGCTGGCAGGTGGGGGGGGGGGGTGCTATGGAGGCTGACTGGGGAAGGAAGGCCATACAGAACCCATTGGGGTGGGAACCGAGTCTGCACCATCAGCTTGGAGGGATGATTGCTTTGGCCATCTCAAACTGTGCTGTGAGTGTATAAACACGTCCTGCAAAACAAACATCAAGCCTGCTGCCTCAGCCTTTGTTGTACTTCATCTATTGTTTTTGTGAAGCCTGCCGCGTGCGCTGCAGCAGAAGCTTGGACCACCGGACGAGCGAGTAACGCTTGTTTTGGCCACTGAGAGGGCACACACACAGCTCGGGCTGCAGGAGAAGCCGCTATGGATTTGCTGGGGAGGCTCTCCACTCTTTAATGCCATGCGCGCGTGACTCATTAAATGGTCACCCCACCCACCGAGCACCCCCCCCCCCCCCTCTGCTATGACAGTCACGAGTGGTTTTCAGTTGACTGATTTTGCACAACACCTTTTGCTGTTAATTTATTATCGGCTATTTGAAATCGGTTGTCATTTTACATCTCTGGTTACCATACGTTATCAACAACCCAGGTGTGGTGGTACAGTGATAGTAATCCTTGCAGAGTTGAATCCTGTGTGAGAAACACACCTGCTGGGATCAAAGGTGTCCTTGGTAGGACACTAACCCGTCAATTTAGAATTTTGTCCACTGGCATTGTTTTTTTTTACCAGGCACACTTAACGCACTTGTATAAATGGCCAAGGATAGAATTTCTCGTGGGATTAGTCATATCATATAGACTCTTAAAAGTGTGCAGGGCTTCACGAATGTTCAGACAAGAGTATAAGGAATACAAATAATAATCCTGTGGATCTTCTTTGGTTCTTTCGGTAAAGTCACGTAGAATGAGAATAAAATAATAAATTAATAAAATTAAATAACACAATAAAATTCTCACGACGTTTCGGCCACAACACAAGTGGCCTTCATCAGGTGAAGGGACTAAACTGTCTCGAGGACAGCACTGGAGCGAACACAGCCAAGCTAAATCCTGTGGATATTTACTCAAAGCAAGTTTTTTCCCAGGCACAAAACCTAATTTAAATACGGTTTGACGGCCATTCTTGTTTATAATGGTTGGGTGGTATAAATCCTAATGCCACTATTGACCCTGATACCCCTATGCCAGCTGATATTTCCAGAATCATTTAAAAGTAATTATGATGACATAGGTCTTCCTAGATCGGTAAAGGGCATGGTCCTTGCCAATTCCAATGCCTGGCCAGGATGAATGGAGCAGAGAGACTTATTTTATTGTCTGAATTCTTGCCAAGATGGTGCCAGTGGATTTCAATTGTGATCTTTGCCACTTTAAATTGGCCAAGTTGTCATACTGGCTGTCTGATATTGGCAATATCGTTTTTTAACAAGTTTATCTTATTTATATTTAAATAACATCATATGGTGAAAAACAAAACTAGAGTATACAATATTAAGAGAACCGAGATAATACATATGAAGCCATAGGTGCCCTGAGCTATCAAGCCTAGCTAAGTTGCTGAACCAACTGCATCCACCATGGAGGATATAGCAACTGCAGGTAACTGGATTTGTAGCGTGTCTCTCTCCCCGTGGTCACGTGGATTTTTTTTACGTCCTCTAGTTTTTCCCTCCACATTTAGAATCAACAACATGCGTTTAGAGTATTTAGCTGCTTTAAATTTCCACATGATAAGCCGCTTTCTTGAGCTATCATTTGTGGCCAGGTCGCTTATGAAAAAGAGCTATATAGCTCAGTGGGCCTAACCTGGTAAAAAAATGTTTATAGTCTATTCAGATGACTAGATTATTGCGGTCAGTGTGGTCTCAAGTCCTTGACAGCCATCAACTAAATTAAACAAATTTTACATCATTTACTATGGGCAATTTTCCATATTTTTTGCAAGAGCTGATATATCTAAGCTGGTTCTGTATTTGATTAAACTATTTTTTTTAAAAAACAACCCAGAAAGCAGACAAGTGCCGTACATCCTTTACCAGACAGCTATCATGCGTGACGTGTCATTGAAAAAGCAATAAAAGGTTAGAATTGGATGACCTTGAAATACTGACAAGTTCACGATCATCCTAAACGGTTTGCATTACTGTATTACATATTACATAACACGAAATAATCAGAGCTGTTATGGAGAATGAATGTCAAAACAGACAAGCAGACAATTCGTCTATTTTATATACATGCCTTACCACAAAATAATTTATAGAAGTATCTTACACAGCCCGTTGGCGCAGTGTTCTTGTTAGTGCATCTTTTTAGCATAATTGATTCAGTACAAGCAAACTGGACAGGTTAAGACATACAGCATCTCATCAGCAGAGTCAGGCTTTCTTGAATTGATAGTATAATTATTTTCCTCCATTGATTTCAATGCCATGGTGTCGTCAGCACATCGAAGTGTAAACCAATATTAACATAATTTTGACTTCTTTAGGCCTTTTGGTAAAGTCATGTAGATAGGTTCAAGGAAAATAACAAAAAACTACGACGTTTCAAATTCCTGCAGTCACGAAAGCTTTAAGTCATAATTTTGACTGTTTCAAATGCATTCAGCATTTCAGAAATGTTAGTTGCGCAAGTGCTTATAAGCATGTACGCTGCATGGAAGATGCATTATTTTGTAGACTGCATTTAAACATTTGCCTTTCCAATTAAATGCTTTCATTACAAAGGCAAAGTAGGAGACGGCAACATTTATTTAAGAACATTGACACTGCTAAAATAATGTAAATCATTAGTTGTTTGTAAAATAAATGTTTTTCAATGAGTACTTATATAACGTCATTGTGGCGTCCCCAAGTTAACCATTCTTTGATTCGTCAGGTATTACAACCATTTCCATAACTACTTTTATGAAAAAATATATTTACTCGAAGAAGTTCCACAAATAAAAATTGTGCCAGCCTTTTAAATTTAACCAGCCGAATTTGTTTTCAATTCAACAAATATTTTCCGTTACAATTGTCTCGTGCAGTTATTTTAGTATACTCAATCATTATTTCAGTGTTCAATGCCTTCAAAGGAAATGAGTGGTGTTGCAATGGATAGCAACTTCCTTATGAATCCAGTGACCAAAGTTATATTCCTGGCCATGGCTAACATAAGTTGAGTGATAGCTTAACTGCTACTGGACTTCCTCTTTCAAACCCACACTGACTCTTATGAGTGACAGGGTGTGGGGAAGCCTTCAACCAGCAGTGGATTGACAAATGGCAGAAATAATTATCACACTTTACAATCCTAGGTTTAATATTGTTTATCTGAGGAGACAGAAATAGTTGCGTATTCAGACAACGCGATCCTGTCTTTGATCGCAAAAACTCACAAGTATTTTTAAAATACCAACAACCTTTATCACTAAAAGTTAGGACATTTGGTAACACCTTATTTAGCCTGCCCATATTCTGAGGTTGTAAAGTTAGTATTTTTAGACCTGTTGCTTTTGTCTCTTTGCAGCATAAAGGAGCACCATCTAGTGGTTGTAGTAAAATAGTTAGTTCAATAGTCATTCGAGGTATCTTATTGATCATCTTCTATGGACGTTCTTGAATGTGATTCAATATTTTCACGTTCTCGTGCATTCGTGGAATCAACTTATCACGTGACTATAAAAATAACTGTTGATACATTTGGAAATGAAAACAGGAATGGACAATTGGAAAAATTAATGTGTGGATAGTTCTATGAACTTTTTTGAAGACATTGTTTGATCAAAATGTATTAATTGTTTTTATAATCCCAACTATAAAGTGGTTAATGTTATTTCTATACACCTACATCTTGTGTGGTTGAGATGATAGGGGAGTGCCAACTACATACACTCTTGACAGTCGAAGGGAAATATTATGCTCGGGAATCTAATGTATTGTCTTCGCTTGCGGTTGTATTTTGCAGGTATGGATGAGAGAACAGCTCCCGGGTCGTGGGCTGCAGGCAGCCAGACAAGCCCCTCCTACGACTCTGCCAGGGTCAGTGGTTACAGCACACCCCCAACACATTTGACTCATAACTTTGGGCTGAATGTTGTTATATTGTGCACATTAACAAAACAACAGATGCTTCTTTATGAACAAATCCTTTGATGGTGATTTAAAAAATAGGTTCTATGGTTTGTTTTATTTGCACCATTTACACCTGTTTTATTTCTGGTCTCAAAAAAGAAAGGTATTACTAGATATTGTGTATCATTAGCGTTAGTTCAAGAATGAACAGATATGATGAATTGATGTGAAGTAAGCATCCAGAACAGTTAAAGGAACGTGAAATCTAAAAGTAGTGCATGTTCTCTTAAAAAATATCACCACAAATGTATGAGCAGAATTTAAGCAGATCGATTTTTGTAAATAAGAAATTTACACTTTAGCTCCCAAATCCTGGCTCCTGTATATCATTTGGTGCGCCACCACGATGTTTGTGCCTTGCATTGCCATGTCTCACGTGAGGCTGTCACTTTGTGTCAGTGGAATGGAAAAAAGCGAATCGAGGGATTTTCCATCATGGGTCTGCGCAAATTCTTAGGTTGCAATGTTGCCTTATAATAATTCTGACTATTGCCTGATGAAGGTGGTTGTAATCACGCGCGAAACGTCATACTCTAATTATATATGTTGTGAGTTTACTCTCCAACACACTGGTGTGCTGAACTTGGAACGAATTGGCATGTTTTGTTTCTGACAAACCTTACTAACTGGCTGTGTTGGGTGGTGGCGGGTTTAATGACATTTATATTTTTACACGATGCAACCCAAAAAATCTTTATGGATAATATAGGTCGTAAAAGCCTACGTGTTCAAAGCTTGCCTTTACTTAACAGCTGTGTGTAGCAGATCGATCGCAGTAACCGAGCACGTGTGAACGTTTTGACAAAGGCATGAAATTGCCCGATTCCACGTGGCATGTACCCTGCCTCATTTGCTGGCGTCACGTAGCGGCTTCTCACCACCTTTGTGACGTCATGGCAAATTCAACACAGTTGCGCACTTGAACTTTGTGATTCATTTAAATGCACTCTTCAGAGTAATGAAATTTATATCCCGTGCTGAGCCGAGCAGACCATGCACTTTTAACTATGCTTATACGAATAACAGCCATTATTTTTATTTCACCTTCAGAAAAAAACATTCGTATGCTTTGTGCGAAGGATAATTGGCCTGTTTTTGTATAATTTGGACATCTGTGAAAAAGAGCTTTGTAGCTCATTAGATTTCTGTCGTATAAATACATATTCTGATTCTAACATTTTAGGCAGGAACGTTTTTTTTAAGACAACTCTTCAGGAAATGGCCACATTCCATACGTTGTTAATATGAAAAGCAATAGCTTTCCACACTTCTACGTTAAAATAGAAAACCAACTGATGCTTTTAGTATCAGTGGTCAACCCTCGTGCTTCGATATAATATGAATAATTTAAGCTTAGCAACTTTCGAGTTTCTAGTAAACATCTTGTGCAGCAGCCTGCAGTTTATGGATTGAGGCACTGTAAGTCTGTCAGAGATTGCAATGACATAGGGAGGCCTTCATCCAGCATTGTCGTGCTGTCGATGGTGCATAAAAAAATCTTACAAATTTAAGGTCGATATAACATCATATATACAATCACACGGTGAACCTTACCTTTCGCGTGATCTAACAAAAATTACTTGCACAAACCATACGTGCATGCATGTGGGCCCAAAGCAGCAAGCATCTAGGGGCACACTTTGAGATATGCCACTCAAGGGCAAGCAAAGCGATGAGTTTCCAAGAGGGGGGAACTTTGGACCCAGCCAAGCGCACACGCTACCTTTGTGGCTGCATGAAAAGCAGGGCAAGTATACCTCAAACATGAGGATAAGGCTTTCCCTGCTTGGGTCAACAGCATACGTGTGGCACGCAAACACTTGGGCACCTCTATTGGCTTGATTGCTCCATACAAGGACTTATACACCGGCTATGTCAACAGCCATAAAGCAAAGTTTGACATTCCTATTTTTTTTACTTACATCAATTTGTCCGTTATCGTCTACAGTGATGAATAAACAGTCCTTTTTAGTGGTTGCACAAGCATGTTCCTTGAGGTAGTTAAAAGCCACATACAAAGAATAGAAATTGGGAAAATAGATTAAGATAGAAATTTATCAACATGAGAGTGCTAAGGGGTACTATGAAAACCTGTAATTGTGGATTTATGTCAGTCAATACTAGAAACAAGCTCAGCAAGTCCATTACGGTCTTAGAGTTGAAATAAAATTCAGAGTTTGTACAGTTCATGAACTTAAACATGGCCGTGACTTTTAATATCTTATTGCCCTCTGTAGATGTCAACTTATTTGACTCCACACTATCGTTAGTCTCGACCATCCCTTCTAGCAATTTGTCCTTCCCAAACCCACCGATATTCCTTAACAGTCAGTATAAAGTCTCTCATTGGCATGTCGTCTACTCTCATCTTTGTCTGTGTACCTCTTCTGTCTTTGGTGTAATTCCACGCATATGTATCTCCATGCTTCGTGATATGCTTTTCAGCTGTCTATCCGTTTTTCTTCTCCGAATGTTATCGGAATAAACTCTCATTGTAAACATTTACATGCAGATGATCATTATCAAATTCAGTTTTCCAAAAGCACTCCATCCTGCTGTTTTTCTCCTTATTTCATAATTTTAATCCTGAACCGCCTGTAATAGCTTCCTGAGGTATACTTATTTACAGCATTGTTGTGTTGTCTGGCATTATCTACGTGCTGTGATATTATTTGTTTACATGTACGCTGTTATTGTTATCTTTATGTATCAGCATATATACATCTTAAGAAATCCTTACGTTTACCATGCAATTATACATTCTGGGAAGTGGATATTTTACGGAATGTTTAACTTGTCGATTAAAGGACATTTATTTTGAGTTAAATTACAGTGCCGTTGAAGTTTTCGCTTACAAGCCGTTTTGAATAAGATGAGTGTGTAAGACTGAATATCTATGTTACTGCTTTAATTTAAATGAACATCTGTTCATTATCATGGTGTGGGGCATGTACTCAATTTTATAACCATATGTTTCCATATCTTATAAAAGTAATTTCAGCCATGTTTTTAGATGTAGTTTTGGAAATAAGTGCAGTAATGTAAGCCTTCAAGCTACATAAAATGTGATGTCTTGTAAGTGGCATTTAAATAAATCCTAGTTAAATATGCCTGACAGCTGATTTAATTTATATTTGTATAGCTATTAAAAATTAAAAAACGTTATAATTATTCCTATTATTGTGCACGGTAAGGATTGTTTACAAATTATTTGTAAAAGTTGCAACACATCACAGAAAATTGTATTTTACGGCTGAGCTTCATATGTATGAGGATTTATTTTCACATAAGCTTAAGTATAGATGAGGTCAATCAATGTGTATTTCATTGACCACACAATCGTTTGTTGTGGAAATAATGCCTCCAAGCCCATATTTGGAAATTAGTGATTTATGTGTTAATTCATTGAAGGTATATAGTGCTAATAAGCCCAGGATCATTTGTTTAGTGATGATGAAGCAGAATTGTTATTGGTCCATTGCGTGTGCATTTAGCCATGCTCGCGGCTTGCTGTGTTGTGTCCCATCTGTCTTCTTGTCGACTGGTTTACTATCCTGGTGAGCTACTTCCTTTTTGTTTATCAGTATAGCGAAATGGGGGAGCGGCACAGAAGGAAGTCTCTGCAGACAAGGGGTAGTATGACCTTTTTTGGCCTGGTATTCCAATGTAAGTGATTTAGACACCTGTGCAGTTATGTTAATTGCCATAGTACCAAGTGTTGCTTGTCTGATTTCAAGGTGGCACATGAAGCAAAACAAATGTATTGAAACCTTACATTTAGTCATATCCTACATAAGAAGTACGCACAATTTGCTTCATTATAATTTTCAAAATGTCACGGTGAATAGAGCAGCATTCACATACAAACAATGTAATTGATTTAAGTGCAAAAAAGTGGTATTGCCATTTCAAAATAATAATCATATGCATGTTTATTAAACCGGTCCCTTGTACAATTGGCTGATTGTGACAGTGCAGCCAAGTATAACCCTCTCGGGATAAACAAACAGGTTCAGCCCACTATGCATGCAACTTGGCAGAAAATGCATTGCACACATGGACACACAACAAACACCGCAAGTGGCTTGATTCACTACTAAACAGTGATACCACCACCGTGGTGTTTGTGCCAACACGGACCCATTTATTATGGGTCATCAGGGTAGAATGATTGGCAGGCCCAGTGGGTTGCACTCCCCGCTGTGCCGAACACACACACACACAACATGTGTCGCGAAGTAATGCAGAGATTAAAAGGCCACAGTGAACAGAATATGTCAGTGCCTATGGATCCAGACCAGATTTTACAATGGTCAGGTGTATATTTGGTTGAGGCTGAAACATTATTTTTCAAGCCGCAAGATTTTTTTCAGAAGGCCACACCTGATCCTGGGACTGCACAAAATGTAATTTAGGTTGTTGAGCAGGTGAACGCAAAGTTAATTGTGGCCCCTGGGTGTGACCCAATTTCCCTGTTTTCTGCATTTCACTGCAATTGTTGTGATTTATTTTAAAATGATTATTGTTTCAATTCAATTTACTCCTGAAATCATTTGTCATGCTGTTGAGGCTGGAGGTGGCTTTTAAGATCAGGATTCTCAGCTTAGACTTTGCCACATTCCAATTCTACAAATCCCCGTTACGCTGCAGTTGCATCGTCGAACCAACTCTGTCAGTTATTCAATGATGTGCTTGTTTCTTGTTTTTATCAACGTCTGTTTAATCTTTCCATAACCATGTTGGTGCTGTTCCATAGGCTGTAGAGTATTTTGTGCTTTGCAGTTTTTGTGAAGTTGCAACTGTACAACTAGACCTTTGCATAAATGTCTCAAGCACTGCATGTGTGTTTTTTAAGGTGTTAAAGCCAACGTTATACATACCTGCACATTCATAATACAGGTTTTTTTTTTGGGTTAGATCACGTAAGTATGCGCTATAAACCAAAAAACCTGTATTATAGACGATATTGGTCGTGAAAGTCTGTTAAACTTTTCCTGCACTTTATTTACTGTTTAACATTCCATTTTGGTCGTGAAAGCTTAAGTGTTAATCTATACCTGGACATTGTTTTATATTTAACAATCCATTTTGCTTTCTGTTTAACAATACATTTTGGAATTTGGAGTACACCCCGTAGCTAATAATGATAAAAAACAAGTTTATTTGTTGCCAGTGCAATGCTTTGATGATGTGTACTGATGGACGTGTGATGGGATCTTGTTGTTTACAGGGATATAACCACAGCCCCCAATACAATGACCACATGGGCGACAGAGGAATGGGCTCTCACGACGGCATGCCTTCAGCGTTTCTCAACTCCAGTTTAATGAGTGGGTATTGTCACGTGCTGCATGTACCATTACCTACATGTGATTCCTCGGCTTTGAAGCACACACACACACTTGTCACGTAGCCCAGCTTGTCTTTTGGAAAACAAGTTAATTGTGATCATCACGCAAAGATTGTGACATTTTTTGCATTATTTTTTCAAAGGTAAGATGCATGATTTTTCTTGTTTATGTTGTGCTTTTCTGAACACGTAAATATGTGGCATGACAAATGTGTGTAATGTATAAAGCAGGTTAACCTATTCACAGTTTGTTAAATATTCATATAAAGCAAACCTGCAATTTAGATTTAAAACATTCAGTTGTATTATGTAATTTTTAGGATAAAGATGGAAGGTTCAAAGCTTTTTTTTTACTTTGCTGCTGTTCTTTATGGTCAAGGTGTCTTCTCTAAAATGACTGCATATATATCCTAAACAGAATAATAATACATAAATTTTAACAAACAAAAACTCTGTTTAGAAGTAAAGGGTCATGTGACCCCTTAATTCTCTATGACACAAGAAAATTTAACTGAATTTAAAAGTCACCTTGCCTTTATTTAACCATCACAATTATTTCACCGAAACAATTTGTGTAAGTGAAGAAATGGCCAGGTTACAGACTAAATTGGCAGCATTCCTGAGAAATAAAAACTACTTATTTAAAAAAACACATTGTAATGGCTCATGGTACTTCTAATATTATTGACCCAAGCATATGAGTATACTTAAACTTGGCACTTCGCCAGCCTTATTCAATCCATCTTTACTTTAATCTTTTTTTGTAATTGCCCCGGGTACTCTCCTTGCTGTACATGTAAGACACAACTCTTACCACCGTCCTTGCAGATTTGTTTGAAGCACAAGTAGCATGCTGTGTAATGAGAGGTTACAAGAGAAGCGAGCCTGTGATCGCTGCACCACAGCAGTCCTACATATGGTGATTTGCACTGTGCCCTTCTCTCTGTATCCAGTCCCTTGACCATGGCCTGGTAGTAGTACTCGCACTGCCCTAAAATCCTCATGACCCAAATCCAGTTGACGACCACATGTGCATTACTAGCCATGTGTATCCAGTCCTTTGGCAGGTCTTTGTCTAGGTTGGCTGCCTAAAGCAATTACCTGGCGTGGTCCGGTCTATCACCAGACAGACAAGGGAGTCCTCTGTGGCACTGGCATCATCTTGGTCATATCAACTTGAATATGTATTTGTTAGCAGGACTTGCTCCAATAGCAATAGGTTAACATGGCACTCTAGAAGACGTATATAAGCAGGTCATTTTCAGAGTGTGCATGAAGTTTGAAACAATATGGTAATGGTTTGGATAAATGATTTTGGTTGAGAACTAAACACCATTAATGCCTGCAGTACATCTTTGTAGCATGTTGGTACAATTTGGGGGGGGGGGGAAAAAACATCAAAACTCCCCCTTTTTTTGTTGTGCTAGCACTTCAAAATATACAACTTCCTGAACCCTGCTTGCAAATTTTGAATTGAGAATGTGGTTCCAAGAGAGTGACTGCAATCTTCTCCATTTTTATTCCATGCCTATCATTGTCCCTTCGCTGCACTCAAGGGGCCAAACACGGCATCAAAATACAGCCCCTCTGCTTTTCTGCCACCCCGACGTTATACAGAAGTGGCCAAGTCACAATGCATTTTATATTATTTTCTTTGCCGCACAAGGCGGTCCTGTTGCTTTCCCATTACAGAGCCGATGCTTGTAAAAATGCACGCCTTTCCATATATATATCAAAATCGTTCAATATACAGAAAGTAGTAACTGTGATGAATAAATAATGAAAGAATATATGTTGTAGCTGGCCTGAATGTTGCTCGAATTAGCATGTTTGCGCCAGTGGATGATTTACGAGCAGATGGGTGGCCTCAAGGTGCGGTGGCCATGTGCACTAGAACAGTTCGATCCCTGCTTTTGCAGCCCCCATCCTAACATCCCTTAGCACAAATATGAATAAAACAAAGTCGCCGAGGAAATGAACAAACTTCTAAATCAGGGTAAAACACGACAACATCACGTTTGTGTGTATATTGAACTCCTTTCGCACTGTACATAGCCAACCGTGCTAATGGGTGGATCATTGAAAGGTATGTAAAAAGAGCACATGAAAAGATTACTGCTAAATTGGATGTGTTATAGCGAGGTGAGAGAATCTGCAAGCTCGTAGCTAGAATAGGCACGGAGATGATGATCGCCTTAAAAAAATATAGTATTGAAAACAGACGAGGAATGCAAATTATGACAAACCTTTTTTATTGTCATGGATTCATATTTCCGCGCAGAATATTTACACAGGAGAAGTTATCCCAGGGGATGCGAGTTGCACTTCAACATAACTCTACAAAGGGGCCCAAGTGGGGGCTAGGGGTGGTCACGTGGTTAGCATCCAGATCCTTCCCGAGGATTCTGGCAGGTGGTCGTGGCCAAGGGTGGAGCCGGCCACGGCGCAGAGAATATAAGCTGGGTCCCCAGAGGGACTGCCATTGTTGTTCATCCTGAAGAACCCTTTGTCTAGGTCTACGTTCTTCGATCAACGAGCTGTAGTCCCGGTCCGTAGTAGCAGTTACGTTGCAACTAGTGTAGTTAGCCTGGTGGTCACCACTATAGGTTGTTATTCTGTTAAGGGAAAGTTACCCTTTCGTGTTGGAGTTAAATAAATGTGTTGCCTCCAAGTATATGTCTGCGACTCAGTTGAACTCACTACACAGATAAATAGAAAAGGAAGGATGAGGAAAATGTAAACAGAATACATAACTACCTAAACTTAGGGAAAAGAATCGGGAAAAACGTGACGGAGCAATAGGAGTATGAAAGCAGAAAAAGGGAGTTTGTTGAAAGTGTAAGAGCGCACGATAGAACCATGACCGTGGTTGTCTGGCTTGACCACTTGAATGTGAAATTTTAGTTGTTGCCCTGCATCTGCATCAGCCATACGAAAGAATGACAATCATAGAACTAAACTTTGCTGTGGTCAGAGTTCAATTCATTACGGAAACACACGAGTTTCAATTCAGAAACAGAATATTTATTCGTACTGGAGGAATCCGTTGAGCTATAAAGCTCTTCACAGATCTCCAGTAGGGGTGGGAAACAACGTTAGATTCTGCACCTTGGCAGGGCCTCTCACAGGGATGACTCAGCCGCAATTGAGTAGTTGGTGTTTTATGTTGAAAGTTGCTATCATTGTGTGCCATCGGCATGCGGGTTTTATTGCAATATGACATGAATGGCATTCAAAAGTTACTGAAACGGCTATACCAAAAGAGTTGCATCAAATCTCTGTCTCTCTCTATGCCTCTCTTAGATCTCTCATGCTCACATGTCCATTGCATTGCACTCGCATGCCTTTGGATTGCACTCTCATGCTCTCACATGTCTTTTGGATTGCACTCTCATACTTACAGGCCCTTTGGATTACACCCATTGGGTTGAACTCCCTTGTCGAGGAGGCCGCTCTTCTCCTTTTCTACAGTTACATGCTAATTTCTCACATTAACATCATGCTAATCTCTCACATTAACATAGCCACTTCTGTGCCCCCGTCGAGGAGGCCGCTCTCCTATCTTACAGTTACACGCTAATTTCTCACATTAACATCACTAGCCCTGGCCACTTCTTAATGACCCTTGAGCTACACCCATTTCAAACCTTTTAAAACAGTCTGCCTCAGCAGCAGGACCATGCTTTCCCACCTGATGGACGCTTGTGTTGCGCCCGAAACGTCGTGATTTATTAAATTTTGATTTCTACCTACGTGACTTTACCGAAAAAAACAAAGAGTATGGATTCTTGCAATCACGAAAGATTCAAATCAAGATCTATGATATGGTCTGACATTTATGCTTGAGTGACATTTCAGTGGGAGTTGTTGCTCATTGTTTTTAATATAATCACCCAGAAATGTCTGTCCGTCCTGCACGTGACGTCACTCCACAAGGCCCACCCCCCTGCATGACGTCCCTCCACATGAGGCCCACCCCCTGTGTGATGTCACTCCACATGAGGCCCCCCCCCTCATTAATATTCATGAGTGGGTGGATTTTTACACGAACGCAGAAGGAAGGTCGAGCTGAATTAAATTATTACGCAAAGTCGCTTCAAATATGACGTTTCTTTAAAGAAAGTGATGGTAAAATATGAATCTACGCAGCACAGTGCTACATCCGTGTGTGATGTCACTGCAAAAGAGGCCCCCTCCTAAATTAATATTCATGCCCGCATGGAATTTACACTAGTGCACAAGAAGGTTGCGCACTCCACATGCCGCACCCCTCCCCAATAACCATTAGCGACTGACGTCACTCCACATGGGGCAACCTCCCCCTCAATAATCATGAGCTGAACAATTTTTCTATTTAATATTTCAGATTTACTGCAATATACAAACCATCCTTGGACGGGCAATAAAGCTGTTTTTAATCAACATAAGCCAAGGTATTTTATTCATAGATGTACATGTTTAGCCAAAACAACGTTATTTTTTTTATTCCACCTTAATCATTTGTCTTTTGTCACAGCCATAGCTAAGTACCACAAAATGGCATGAACCGCATTTTCCGATTATATAATGGCAGCGATACTTACAGGGTGTTATTATTACAATTATTAGACCTTTCCGTTTGTTGCTATAAATAATGTACAAATGTTTAATGCTGTATTACTATTCAATTGCACTTTATTAATAACACATTTTTTGTTATTTGTCTGTTTTGTGATTTGCCATGCATATAATAAACCTGAAAAAGCCCCCCTTAATATTTAATAGAACTTTCCTGCCTTAGCTGAAGAGTCGATGTGCATTATTTATGCTGTCAGGTATGTTTATTTTAATCGCTGTCACTACAAGAGTTTTACATAATTGGTTTTTAAAATGAGAGGGGAGGAAAGAGAGAATTGGGTTTCGCTGCATCTCAAATACCATTTTTCAGATTTCGAACACTGATAACTTGATAACATTTCTAAAACATCACTTAAATTATTT